GTACGTGGTATATCACCATCACGAGATACCAGCAACAGGATGATGATGGTGAGACCATCTTATCGTATGAATGATAATAATAATAATAATAACTCTGTTGATGGTACTGCTACCACTACTTTAAATAATAATAATAGTGAGGTCATATCTCATAATGGGGGCAATCGAAGAAGAGGAGGAGAATATGGTCCTGGTACTGGTGGTGTTGGTGGTGGTTTATATGGACAACAACAAGAAGAAGAAGAAGGAGAACATTATTATATATCACGTCCATCGAACTCTATATCACCATCATGTAAAAGTCCAGGCGTTACAGCTACTGAGAGTCCTGTTATTAGACATCCAGTTGTTAAAGTAATACTCATAATCATTAATATTCTCCTTCTTCATATTGTCTATCATCATTATTGTAGGTACGATCACCTAATATATGTCTAGCTATAGGTAGAGTATTTATATTGTGTCTTACATTATTAGTATGCCTAGTTATAGCAGCTACTTGGTATAGTTATGGTATTATGTGGATATTCGATACATCTACTAAAACATATCCAATACTAACATGTCCAGCTTTATCAGAGATGATACAAATAACACAAAAACTATACCAAGGTCCTGCATGCAAGTTAGCTTTACAGTAAGTATCATATTATAGTAGTATGATGATATAATCTTTTTAGATATAGTCTAGATCTAAGTAATTACATCAAGAGTGAGGGACTTGATGTAAGCATATTAAATGATGTCGTTGTAATCCTTATTATCATCAGCTGTTCTTGTTGTATGATGTTTAGCTACCACCTGGAACTCCTCCTACGGAATCATTGGGTATGTGTACATTAGCATCATCAGAAGAAACACCAATAACATGTTATCTACCATCACCATGCACATCTGTATGTCGAGAAGCTACTACTGGTGGTTTATGTCCAGATCCATTATTAATAAAGCATGTTACCACACCAGATGCTAATAATCAACGATGTAATACTTATAATACTATCTCTTATTATTACTTCTCCTAACATTATAGGTTATGTATTCCTAAGGAGTCAACAAGTTTATTATCAGATGAATTGTTATGAGGTAGTACTAGTAATTTTCGTATGACTAGTATTATACAATAATCGTTATCATTATCAGATACAACAGGCATCCCATTGTACTTACTATTTCACAGTAACACCTAGTAATATATTGGCTATACGAGGACTTATACTAGCAGTGGCTTTCATTACGATATTCTGGTTTATTGGAGAACTGGTAGTAGTTAGTAATCACTACTACTAGAAGCATAACGAGATCCCTTCCCTTCTCCTCCTCCCCGTCATCCTTGTGTATAGGTATTACGAAGTGTTGAGAAGGGTTTGAAGAAAGAGGAGGAGGAAGGCATGACAAGAATGGCTGCTGAGCTACCATCTAAGAGGAGATATCTTAGGGATCAAATATCACAACGATGGGCAGAAGAAGCTGATATTAACTATGCATTATCAGCAGGAGCACCATCATCAATGTATGATAATAATAATACATATCGTGATGCTGCTGCTGTTGCCTACTCTGATGAGCACGATTATTATTATAATAATAACTACCGTCATCACTATTATGATAAACGACCAGGAGATTCGTAATATCAACAATAGAAACTACAACATGTATGTGTGATGTCGTATCAGGTCAACTAGATCTAACTTCAGTCCTAATGATAATAGTAGGAGAAGATCAGCAGCAGGAGGAGGTGATATTGCTAATGTTGGAGAATCATATTGTATATTGTAGGATCGATATCGGGATATACGAATAAATATAATGGCAAATCACAACTGTAATAGTCATTATCACAATCATGATGATAATAATGATAGTATGATATTAAATCGATGATCGTTAGTTACTCGAGAGATCCACGTAAGAGATTTGAATCAAATGCTTGGAGAAGGCGTCTACATCAATGGAAGAATCTAGGAAATGATAGGATGAAGAAATATGTTGCCCGCCAGAGAATACGTAAGTCTATAACTACTACTAGTACTAGTAATGATGATAATAGTACTGTTATTATTACTAGGTACGCTACTCTTAACATTGTTCTACATCTTATTAATAATATGCTCACAGTTTTTGGTAATCTTTTTTTCACCACATAATGCACAGCCCTTAGAATCGGTAAGTAATGGGCGGCATCGTTGGAATGTTGTTGTTGTTGGTAGTAATGGTTATTATGATTAGATTACGTCGGCCTTCCTTGGTGTGATATCTATATGGAATGCTACTAGTTGGTTAGATTGGATAATATTCGTAGATGTGTTATTGGATGTACTACTCTTTATAGCAGCAGCAATAGCTGTTAAATGGCCAACACAGGGTGTAAGGGTACATAATAACAACAAACACTATTACTAATATCATCCTTAGGTCTTTGCTCATAGATTACAGGCTGAACTACGTGATAATGAGATTAAAGGGGATGACGAGGATGAGGAGGAGGATGAGGAGGATGTATATTATGATGATAGAAGTATTACGGATAGTAGAGCCAACAGTAGGAGGAGGTCGTTACACTCTGATGGTGTATTATCATATGATGATGATGAGTATGGTCATGATGATGATGATCGAGAATGGATTCGAGATCATCAGCAGCATCATGAACGTGGTGGTAATAATGAAGCATCAAGAGGTCCATCATTAACTCAACGAAGACTACAACAACTTAATAAGGCTGATGATAGTACACCCTATGCTACACGGGTATTAAAACAACAACAAGAATATACACGAGGGCGAGGAGGAGGTGGTGGAGGAGGAGGAGGAGGTGGTGGTAATGAAGGCTACTACTATGATGATGAAGTCGGGTACAATGATGATAATAAGTGTCCTCCTTATGATGATTATGATGATGATGATGATGATGATGATGATGATGATGATGATGATGATGATGATGATGAGGGTAGTCATAGTCTGGTTAGTAGTAGTATTGCAGTAACATCAACACTACCATCAAGCGAAGATACAGCAACAGTTGATTTTGTAATAAATACTACTACTACTACAATGATGTGATTATTAGGTATTAAGTCAAGGTATGACCAGGGATGTATGCCTTATGATAGCATGTCATAATTCTGCTATGACTGTTGAAAGGTAGTACTAGTAGTAATAATACTGTATAGTATTGATATTGTATAGATTCGAGAACCACGTAAATATGTTACGAGCTGCCTTATGCTTATTCCCACCCTCTCATATCTTCGTATGTGATAATAGTTCATCTATGCAACCACCTGATGAGAATATGTGGGCATGTGAACAAGTAATACTCATCACTACTACTACTACTACTACTACTACTACTACTACTACATAATAATAACAATACCAACAACAACAACAGGTACATCCTGATATTAACTATTTATATGTACCTGAGGGTAATAAGACATTTGCCTTTTATTGGTGTAATAAATATTGGATACCGTTCCTACAGCAGAATGATAGGATACCATCATTCAAATATGCTGTTATTATTGATGATGATGTCGTATTACCACCAGATCTACATATACCACATCAACTATTGGATCAGAACCCCAATATTAAGGCTGTTCATTTCCCTATTGGTGCTACTACTGCTAATGCAGAATCCAATGTGTTGGTTGGATGCCAAGATTGTGAATATAGATTAGCTGCAGTACATAAACAATTCCAGGTATGAAAAGGAATGTCTATGATGCTGTTGATATTGCTATTCAATATTAGGCAACTCTAGCTAGTGCCATAAGCTGTCATGGTGCTGTAGCACTATGGGATAGGGAAACACTTGATGAGGTAATGTTATCATTACTAGTTCATATGATTATTTACTGATGATAGTAGGTATTGTATGATCATGATACGGTATTCCATGGTGAGGATTTACAGATGGGTATGAATCTACTTAAGAAGAGGGATGATTCAAGGATAATATCAGCAGCCCAGACTCTAGTACCAACCTTTGCACCTGATACATGGTATAATATACGACCACCACCACCACCACCACCACCATCACTACTAAATTATCGTTTTTAGGGCTAAACTATTCAGACAACGTGTGAAGTCTTGGGATGTTACAGCGCATCGTAAGACATTCATGTATTTAATAGAGATCATTAATCCAGCTGGATGGTGTCACTTACCAAGTTGGGTTTTAAAACCATACTTTGTTCAAGAAGTAGTATTCGAAGTGTCGTTATCGTTGTTGTTGTTGTTGTCACTATTAATGCTTATTATCCTTGTTCTTCTAGTTACTAACCATATGTCTGGATTGGTTAAGGATTTTCCTATTATTTGGTCTATTGTGTCGTGATTATCTTGCCTTCTTTATTATGTTGGCTATATTGATAATGCTAGTGTACTAACAATATCACAACCATCACCACCACTACTACTATCATCGTCAGGTATCTCATGATATTCGCTCTCAATTACATAGTCTTGAGGCAAAGAAGAGATCTACGACTATCACCATGCGTTATGTTTATATTCCCTTGGTAATAATAATACTCTACTACAGCTTCCTAACTTCCTACTTCCGTATTATTATTATCATTAACCTCAGGTATCGGTTTAACTCGTTGTTATACCGTATAGGTGCCTTATGTCAGAATGTATTGGTATATTCGCATACGAGAGTTGGTATCAAATTGAGTGTACGTGAAGATGAGATTAGAGATATACCACCATGTCCACCATCACCAGATGTTGATTGGTTTACGGTATGGACTATGGATACAATACCACCACTTCCTACTACCACCAACAACAATAAGGCTAATCATAACAACAACAATAACCATGCTTTGACCCCCTCGTATTATCGTAGACCATCACCATCATAACGTCGTACTCACAATTACATCATCACGATAAGCCTACTACTGCTACTTCTACCATTGTTCTTATTGCTGTTTACTTATATCATCCTACACTTATTTTGATATGTATCACACACCGATACGTTATTATAAAGAACATCCCTAAATGTAGTAATTGTAAGAGGGATGAACAGGGTATCCTACTACTACTACTACTACCACAGCTTTCGCTGATACTACTACTACTACTTCCACAGCTTAAGCTGGTACTACTACTAACCACAATATTACTATCTTTAATCATGCTGCTGCTACTACCGCTCCTCCTGCTTACGCTCTTTTACATTATCACCTCACTTTTTTTGACTTATCGATTTGTTATTAGTGTTGTCTTAACAGTATATTAATGATGATAGAGTAGTGAATATAGTGATAATGCTGCCGGCTTAGGCCCTTCCTGATGATATTTAATAACATAAGATCCGTTCTATATCCCTACGATAACGGGATAATATATGGGCAATATTATTCACATACAGACAAGAAGGAATAAGAAGATAAACAGAATCATGGTCATGTTGTGGACAAACTGTCTTAAGAGAAGCACGACTAGTTTGTGACTAGTCATGCACTCAGGCTATTACCTTCTTGCTAGAAATCCTATCGGCAGAGTATCGAGTATGCACCAACTTGTTGAAAACACTGCCGACTCCCTCACAACCGTATGTGCTACACTGATGGTGCGACTTCTATATAGAGTATTGGTCTTTATGCACCACGACGATATTCGCATCCCGCCTCTTGTTCAGTCGTAAATCTCCATCAAGACGAGCACATCAACATACTGGAACTACAGGCGATTGTCATTGCTCTAAAAACCTTTCACACGGTATGTCCCTCTCGGCCGATCTTGCTTTTCTCAGGTGGCAAGGTGGCTGAGCTACCGTTACTCAAAGGGTACAGTTCATCTGCCCATATGTGTATTGCTTTACATCAACAATTCTGGACCCAATTGTCTGAGAGTCTAGCACACCTTAACTTCTACTTAGCCCATGTTCGTTATCATTTGAATCCAGCAGACTTACCGTCCAGACAGGTACTTTCGATTGCGTGACCTTTGGACACATCAACTTTGGACATAAAGTTGTCGAAAGCCCTTTGGACAGCAAGGGATGTCAAAACGAATCTCATGACTAAGTTTTGGACAGTTTGTCCAAAAACTACCCTAGGGAGTAGTTTGGACATGAAGTTGTCGAATATTTTTTTTCATCAAGAAGTTGTCCAATTACGCCTGTAGCGACCTTTGGACAGCTTTCTGATCAATTGGACATGTTTGGACAATATTTAGTAATCTGGACTACAATGTGTCGGAATGTGGCACCGATTACCTTTGGACATCTGTCTCGAATGCGCTCGCCCATAAATGTTTCAAATTTATCTGACAATGTAATTCCTGATAGCTCCTTAATAGTATTAGCTTTCGATGAGGCTATTAATCTTCTTACTTTTGCGGCACGAGAGATGAATCAGCTCAGCTGATAAGATGAGATGGCGATGTTAAAAAAACCAAAAAAACCAAAAAACAGCGGAGATGGACTGGTCACCCTCGCCGACTATCGAAGACCTCAAAAGCCGCTGATGTGTGCGAAGCATTGGCTGGCCGCCTAGCCGAAATCGGCTTCGAGCGAGAGAGAGAGGGAATCTTTTAGTCGGTGTTGTTTTTGCATTATGGCTGAGACTGCAGTAAGGATAGTGTACCGGCATTTCCTAGTAGTACACTAGTACACTAGTAGTACGCACACTAGTATATCGACTGGATTTATCCGAGTCCAAAGTTGCTCCTTCATGGGTTCTGCTGTGGCGCCTTGATTTGGAGGTGGGCCATTTTGACTGCAACTTCGAAGGGGTTGGTGGTAGAAGATTACCACTGTCACAACT